AGCTAATTGAATCACAGAAGGAAGGAAGGAAGGAAGGAAGGAAGGAAGGAAGGAAGGAAGGAAGGAAGGAAGGAAGGAAGGAAGGAAGGAAGGAAGGAAGGAGTTGTGACCACAGGTGCATCTACACAACATCTAACACAGTCTGACACCATTTGTATCTACCATGGCTCAATGCTATAGATCAGACATGGGCAAACTCCAGTCTTCCAGGTGTTTTGGATTTCAGCTCCCAGAAATCCCAGCCAGCTTTACCGGCTGTTAGGAATTGTGGGAATTGAAGTCCAAAACACCTGGAGGGCCAAAGTTTACCCATTCCTGCTATAGATAGAGTCATGGGAGTTGTAGTTTTACAATGTTAGGTGAAAGAGTGATTATGTGTCACCAACACCCAGGACCCTGTAGCAATGAGCCATGATGTCACACCATTATTTCTGCAGTGTTGATACACCCCAAGTGGGATTCTCCTATAAAGATCGGTGCCTTTGCTTTCTAGCAAAGTATAATCCCAATTTTGGAAGGCCAAAGTGACAATTGGGAGAGAGGGTTGTACTTGCTCTCACATGCAAGTTGAGTTCTTTCACCCACCTTTTCTCTTGTCACCTTTTTTAAAAGCATCTTCTCTGTTCTGCTGCCTAGTTCAGCCTTGGAACAATAAACAATCAGCTTCCCCCGTAGCAACATTTTCATGGAGGTGGAAGTTTTCCAGCATCACCATTTAGGTCCAAAGGCTGCTGGCTGTTTACTGGGATGAAACCTTGCCTCTGTCTCTCTTGGATGGCTTCCTCCTGCCTCCCTCCCTCTTTTCCAGGTCTGGGAGGCTTTCCTCTCCCTTCCTCCTCCCTCTGTTCCCATTCAGGCCGATGCACCAAGATCACCCAAGAAAGAGCACACAGGGCACAGTCTGTGGCAGCCAGGACTGGAGCGCCTTGGACAGAGTGAGCGGGTCAGAGCACTAAGCCATAAGCTTTCCTGTCTGCACAGTCGAGTGAGGCCAGGACAGCCGGCCGGTCACATTCGGGCACCTCCTGTTCTTTGCTGGCTTTGACCTTCAGGCAGTGGGCGGATGGGGCTGCCTGGAGAGTCCCCTCGTGAAACAGCCCCCTCTCTAGTTGGTAATATTTATTTTTATTCAGAGGTACAGGCAGTCCCTGAGTTACAAGCATCTGACTTACAAACGACTCCTAGTTAAGAACAGGTGTGAGGCAACAGACAGTGAGAGGGATGTTATATATTGTTTGCATTAGTATTACATTATATATTATTTGTGTGTGTGTCTATATATAGAGAGAGGGGGGCAGTCTCTGAGTTACAGATATCTGACTTACGAATGACTCCTAGTTAATAACAGGGGTGAGATAGAATCATAGAATCAAAGAGTTGGAGGAGACCTCCTGGGCCATCCAGTCCAACCCCATTCTGCCAAGAAGCAGGAATATTGCATTCAAATCACCCCTGACAGATGGCCATCCAGCCTCTGTTTAAAAGCTTCCAAAGAAGGAGCCTCCACCACACTCCGGGGCAGAGAGTTCCACTGCTGAACGGCTCTCACAGTCAGGAAGTTCTTCCTCATGTTCAGATGGAATCTCCTCTCTTGTAGTTTGAAGCCATTGTTCCATTGCATCCTAGTCTCCAAGGAAGCAGAAAACAAGCTTGCTCCCTCCTCCCTGTGGCTTCCTCTCACATATTTATACATGGCTATCATATCCCCCAGATGACAGGAAGTGGGAAGGATCTTATAACAGGGGTCCTCAAACTACGGCCCGAGGGCCGGATACGGCCCTCCAAGGTCATTTACCAGGCCCTCGCTCAGGGTCAACCTAAGTCTGAAATGATTTGAAAGCACACAATAACAACAACAACAACAACAACAATCCTACCTCGTCAGCCAAAAACAGGCCCGCACTTCCCACTGAAATACTAATAAGCTTATATTTGTTAAAATTGATCTTCATTTAAATAATTGTATTGTTTTTAATTGTTTTTACACTACAAATAAGATATGTGTAATGTGCATAGGAATTCATTCATATTTTTTTCAACTTATAAACTGGCCCTCCAACAATTTGAGGGACTGTGACCTGGCCCTCTGTTTAAAAAGTTTGAGGACCCCTGTCTTATGTTATATATTATTACCATTAGTATTATTATATTATGTATTATTAGTGTGTGTGTGTGTATATATATATACATATAGAGAGCAGTGTTTCTCCACCTTCCTAATGCCGCGACCCCTTAATACAGTTCCTCATGTTGTAGTGACCCCTAACCATAACATTATTTTCATTGCTACTGTAACTTTGCTACTGTTCTGAATCATCATATAAATACATGATATGCAGGATGTATTTTCATTCACTGGACCAAATTTGCACAAATACCCAATACGCCCAAATTTGAATACTGGTGGATTTTTTTGGGGGGGAGGGGATTAATTTTGTCATTTGGGAGTTGTAATTGCTGGGGTTTATAGTTAACCTACCATCCCCTTTCTCTAAATATATGGCTGGAATTACACTTAAAACGTGTACCTGTTCCGACTTACATATAAATCCAACTTAAGAACAAACCTACAGAACCTATCTAGTGTTGCTGTGAGGTTTTTTGGGGCTGTCTGGCCATGTTCCAGCAGCATTCTCTCCTGACATTTTGCCTGCATCTGTGGCAAGAATTCCCAGAGGTTCTGAAGATGCCATTAGCCACAGATGCAGGTCAAATATCAGGAGAGAATGTTATTGGAACATGACCATACAGCTCAAGAAACTCTCAGCAACCCAGTGATTTCAGCCATGAAAGCCTTTGACAACACATCGAATCATAGAATCAAAGAGTTGGAAGAGACCTCATGGGCCATCCAGTCCAACCCCCTGCCAAGAAGCAGGAATATTGCATTCAAATCACCCCTGACAGATGGCCATCCAGCCCCTGTTTAAAAGCTTCCAAAGAAGGAGCCTCCACCACACTCCGGGGCAGAGAGTTCCACTGCTGAATGGCTCTCACAGTCAGGAAGTTCTTCCTCATGTTCAGGTGGAATCTCCTCTCTTGTAGTTTGAAGCCATTGCTCTATTGTGTCCTAGTCTCCAAGGAAGCAGAAAACAGGTTTGCTCCCTCCTCCCTGTGGCTTCCCCTCACATATTTATACATAGAACCTATCTTGTTTGTAGCTTGGGATACGGCCCGTAAAGGCGAAAAAAACCCTAGAAAAACCCTAGAAAATAGCAAAGGCAACACAGAGAAAGCAGGGTTTTTTTTATATCTACTGCCTCTGAGAAACTGGAATCTAAAATACTGCTACTGAGAGGTTGGTTAGCTTTTAATTTCATTTGTTGTTGTTGTTGTTTGCCATTCTGTACATACATTCTTGTTTGATCCTGGAGCCAGTAGACTGTTAGAAATTGTGGGAGTTGAAGTCCAAAACACCTGGAAGGAGGGCCAAAGTTGGCCCATGCCTGTGTTAACTGCTTCCCCTGACCCGCTTTTCCCCATTCAATCTGGTGCTTGAACATGACTGTACCTGTTCAGAAGCAGACTTTGCGCATTTGTTTGTCCCTCCGCCTTCTAGAGAGGATAGGAACAAGCAAAGGATGGTTGGGTCTGAGGTGTCCATTTAAATAGTTGGTTTATCTATCCCAGAGGGAGGAAAAAAAAGATATAGAACAGAAGGTGTGCCTCTTGTCTATTTGTGTGTGTGTGTGTCAGAGAGAGGGAAACGTCAGGAGCTTTTCTTTCCAGCACAAAAGTCAACGGCAAAGGCAAAGCCAGTGTTTACTCAGGAGGCGTGAGTCATCTTCGGTCCCAAAGGAGATGAATGGCTCAAATAGAAGGGAAGCAAATACAATTGGGTGCCTGGAGAGATCAGGTGTAATGAACATATAGAAAACGCAGCACAGCAAGGTTTTCCACTCACCCGAAGGCATGGCTCATTAGACTATTAGGATCATAGAATCCATCCAGTCTGACCCCCTTTTACCAAGGCAGGAGGACATACCCAAAGCCTTCCCAACAGATGGCCAGCTGCTTAAAAGCCTCCTGAGAAGGAGACTCAATCAGCCCAGGTCAGAGTGAGCTTCCGACCAAATTGTGTAGCTTGCTGTCAACCTTTGCAGCCCGAAAGACAGTTGCATCTGTCAAGTAGGAAATTTAGGTACTGCTTATGCAGGGGAGGCTAATTTGCAATGCCATAAAAATCTCCAGCAAGCACGCAAAGAATGAGGAAGTACTTAATCAGTGTCACAAATGGATGGTGAAGCAACAGCTCCCCTGGTGGCCAGAATACCCTCATGAAAAAGCTGGAATGTTGAATAGCCTCTGTGTGTCTGTCTATATATATTGTGTGTCTATGGCATTGAATGTTAGCCATGTATTTGTACATTGTAATCAGGGATTGGACTGGATGGCCCTTTGGTCTTTTCCAGTGGTAGGATTCTCTGTATTGTTGTTATTGTTAAAGGGGTTGGACTGGATGGCCCTTAGGTCTTTTCCAGTGGTAGGATTCTCTGTGTTGTTGTTATTGTTATTGTTGTTAAAGGGGTTGGACTGGATGGCCCTTAGGTCTTTTACAGTGGTAGGATTCTCTGTGTTGTTGTTGTTTAAGCAGAGACTGGATGGACATCTATCAGGAATGCTTTGATTCTGTGATATATCTATTGCATATCTCTCAATCACACCTGTCTGTCTTATCTATCTAATCATCATATCTACAGCCATCTATCTATAACTGGATAGCCGCTTGTCGGGGTTGGTTTGAGTCTGTGATCTATCTATTGTACATATATCTCTCGGTTACATCTGTCTGTTTATCTATCTTATTTATCTATCTATCTATGGCCATCTCTATATGGCTAGATGCCATCTGTGGGGGTGCTTTGTCTGTGCTTTTCCTGCCTAGCAGAAGGGGGTTGGACTGGATGGCCTGGGGGTCGCCTGTATGAATCTATGCCTGTCTTATCCTTGTCCGAAGTCCGTCCCACTGACCCTTGATTGTCTCTTTCCTCCCTCCGCAGGCCTGGTCCAGATCCCAGTCAGCATGTACCAGACAGTGGTCACCAGCCTGGCACAGGGCAACGGTCCAGTGCAGGTGGCCATGGCGCCCGTCTCAGCCCGGATCACAGACAGCACGGTCACCGTGGACGGCCAGGCGGTGGAAGTGGTGACGCTGGAGCAGTGAGGGCTGCACGAATAGAAGGAAGGAAGGATCAGGATGCAGCAATGGAGGTGGAGGCGGCTTCTTCCTCCATCCCTCCTTCTCTCTCTTTTTGCAGAAATCGTTTCCTCTTTGCCTCTCGGGAGACGCACACAGGTGGCATCTTCAGTCTCGCAGCAAAATAAAAAGAAAAGGTTTTGTGAACCACACAAAGGTTGGAGTTTCAAACAGAGAGAGCCAAAAAGGGTGGAAGGAGGCCACTTCTGGGTCCAGGAGGCCTACGAAGCTCCATCCAGGCCAAGCCAAGCTTTCCTCTCCCGCCTTGCATGGACCGCTCTCGATGAAAGCTTTGGCAGAGGGACAAAACATGGGTTTTCCTTCCCTTCTTGGGGGCATAGACTTTTGGTTGCCCCGCTCCTGCAGAGAGAGCCACACACAGAACCAGGCCGGTCTGCCGTCTTCCTCGAGGCAAGAATTAGGTGTCATTTTAACGTGGACGTTTATTATTTTTCCTTCTTTAAAACAAAAGAGACCATTTGGGAATATATTTTCTTTCTTTTTTTTGTTTTGCGTTTGAAAGCGTAAGAATCTCCTGGAGACTGTGATCTAGGGATCCTTCCAAGACCTGTTGGATCAGATCCGGCTCCTCCGTTTCCTTCCTTTTTTAAATTCTAAGTCCGTGCTTGAAACCTGCCCGCCAACGCTTCTCTTTCCCTCCTCCACCGGAACCGATATTTGCTTGCCTTTTAAAGAACCTTTTCCCTTCAAGAAAGAAATATTGCAAAGCATGAGATGCAAAACTGCAGTGAAAGGGTACGAAGGATGTTTCCGTGCACCTCGATGGATCCGGGCGGCTGAAGCGTTGACCAAGGGCTCTTCTGGATGACCTTCACGCCTCATCAGCCACGTCCTCTGCTTTTGGGACTCTTCCAGGCACTTCTTGGTTTGTGAAGCTTCCAGGCACTTCTTCCTCCACGAAAAGAGGCGTTCTCATCACGTTTCCTCCTTTTTTCCTTCTCCAAAGCTTTTTCTATCACTTCTTTTTTTGCAGATGAGCCCAAGCTCACTTCTTTTTTCTCCATTGATGGACTCTGCTTCTATCCTCCTGGGAGAATCTCAAGTATTTAATTTCACTGTTGTTTCCCTTCACAGACAAAGACCCTTTCCCGTTTCTCCCTGCATCCATCCCAGCCTCCAAAGCTTGCTTTTCTTTCCCAAGAGTTGTGTATTTACTTGGCTTCTTTTCTTATCGGCAGTTCTTTTATACGCATTTCCCTCCCATGGACATAGACTGATGGAATATTCTCTCCTCACCCTCCCAAGATTTTCAAATTACTTTCTTTCCTTTTTAATTTTAAATATATATATATTTTTCAAAAGGAATTGTTGTCGTGAAGATGTCAGGTGTGGCTTTCAAGTCGGTGTCCCGTCCCCCCCCCCCCCACACTTTTTCTTTATTTTTTGGCAAACGGAATAACGTTCGGATAGACTGAGGAATGATTCCCCCGCGACCCAAAGAGAAGCCGCCCTTGTTCTACCAATGGCACCCCCCCCCCCCCCGCCCCGTCCTGTAGCAGCAGAGCATGGAAACCCCCCTTGTTCCCCCGTATTCTGTCTTATTGCCTCATTCAATAAATTGTTACAGATGTGGACGCAGCTTCCCGTCTTCTTCTTTCCATTCTGTACCAAAAATGCAGAAGACCTCTTGGGGGTGATTTGTCTTGTACAGTCTAGAAATCTTCACATGCAAGTGTGCAAACATTCAGTTCTTAAAGATTGTTGAAATGCAGAGGAAAATACAGGTAATGAAGTTGGACATATTTCTTTAGTAGATGATGATATTATTATTATTATTACTCTAGATCAGGCATGGTTAAACTTGAGCCCTCCAAGTGTTTTAGACTTCAACTCCCACAATTCCTAACAGCCTCAGGCCCCTTCCTCGCTAGCGGCTGAGGAAGGAAAAGGAAGGAGCCTGAGGCTGTTAGGCATTGTGGGAGTTGAAGTCCAAAACACCTGGAGAGCCCAAGTTTAACCATGCCTGATCTAGAGTATATACCCAGCATTACCAAGGTATCAGAGTGTGCAAACTCCCAGTCTTCATGCAGTGTCAATACGCAGGTGCAAATACAGGTATGATTCCAGTTAATGAAGTTGGGCGTACTTCTTTAGTAGAAAACTATATATCATTGTTATAATTATTATCCCAATTCATGAAGTTGGGCTTACTGCTGCTGCTACTTCTCCTCCTCCTCCTCTTCCTTTCCCTCCTCCTCCTTCTTTTTCTTCTTCTTCTCCTCTTCCTCCTTCTCCTCCTCCTCCTCCTCCTTCTCCTTCCCTTCTCCTCCTCCTCCTTCTCCGCCTTCTTCTTCTCCTCCTCCTCCTCCTTCCCCTTCTCCTCCTCCTCCTTCTTCCTCTTTTTCTTCTCCTTCTCCTCCTCCTCCTTTCCCTCCTCCTCCTTCTTTTTCTTCTTCTCCTTCTCTTCCTCCTTCTCCTCCTCCTCCTCCTCCCTTCTCCTCCTCCTTCTCTTCTTCTCCTCCTCCCTTCTTTTCCTCTTTCCTCCTCCTCCTCTTCCTTCTTCTTCCCCTCCTCCTCCTCCTCCTCCTTCTCCTCCTCCTCCTCCTTCTCCTCCTCCTCCTCCTTCTCTTCCTCCTCCTTCTCCTTCTAGTTTCAAGGAGTGTCAAGGTGTAGATGAAAGTGCAGGTATTACCCCAGGTAATGATATTGAGCATACTTCATTATTATTATTATTATTATTGTTATTAAACCAATTAATGAATTTGGGCTTACTTCCTTAAGCAGAAAACATTATCACCATCATCATCATCCCAGTTATTGAAGTCAGGTCTACTATTTTAGTAGAAAACATCATCATCATCATTCTGCTAGCATATATGTGCAGTGTTATCCAAGTATCGGAGTGTGCAAACTTCCAGTCTTCAAAGTGTGTCGAGATGTAAATGAAAATACAGGTATGACCCTAGTTAATGAAGTTGGGCATATTTCTAGTAGAGTTATTATTATTTGAAACACAACAAGATGAGTGCACAGCAGACACTCTGCTGGCTGTTGAATTGGATCACACGTCGGACACTTCCCAAGTGTCTAGGACTGTGTGATGTATCGGCAAATAATGCGTGCAGATCCCAGTAAGGTGGCCTTCTGCAGCTGGCAGGTGGTAATCTTGTCAGCGCCGATTGTGTTTAAGTGCAGGCCAAGGTCTTTAGGCACTGCACCCAGTGTGCCGATCACCACTGGGACCACCTTGACTGGCTTGTGCCAGAGTCTTTGCAGATTGATATTTAAATCCTTATATCGTGTCAGCTTTTCCAGTTGTTTCTCTGCAATCCTGCTGTCACCTGGGATTGTGACAACGACAATCCATACTTTATTTCTTATTTTATTTTTATTTATATTTTTATTTTTATTTATATTTATTTTATTTGTTGTTGTTATTATTATTGCATGTATACCCAGCGTTACCCAGGTATCAGAGTGTGATAACTTCCAGTCTAAGGACTGTAAATGAAAATACAGGTACACCCCAGTTAATGAAGCATACTTCCTTAGTAGAATTATTATTGTGTTGTTATTATTATTATTCTAGTGTACATTCTAGTGTACAAAGCATTGTCCAGATTTGGGGAGTTTGCAAACGTCCAATTTTTAAGGAATGGACATGAAAGTACAGGTACACCCCTGTTAATGGAGTTGGGCGTTATTGGAAACATTATTGGCCAGGGTGTTCCATGCCTTAGTCACCTCCAGACTGGACTACTGTAATGCACTCTACGTGGAGCTGCCCTTGAAAACGGCCCGGAAATTTCAATTGGTCCAGTGGGCAGCGACCAGGTTGTTAACTGGTGCTCCTTACAGGGAGAGGTCAACCCTCCTGTTCAAGGAGCTCCACTGGCTACCGTTCATTTTCCGGTCCCAATTCAAGGTGCAGGTGTTTACCTACAAAGCCCTAAATAGTTTGGGACCCGCCTAACTGCGTGACCGCATCTCTGTATACGAACCCACACGATCACTTTGATCATCTGGAGAGGCCCTGCTCGTGATCCCACCTGCATTGGTGGGGACGAGGGACAGGGCCTTCTTGGTAGTGGCCCCTTGACTCTAAAACTCACTCCCCAAGGACATCAGACATGCCCCAATGTTGGCAGTCTTTAGAAGGAGCTTGAAAACGTGGCTGTTCCAGTGTGCCTTCCCAGAATAAGGAAACTCCCAGCAATATATCCCAAATGCACTTTACTAGAAATCTAGAATTGCCTGCAAGCCCCACCTATCCCTAAAATATCTATCCTTTTTCACCTGATCATGCCCAGCATTTTTAATGATTTTAATTATTACATTGGCCCTGCCACAGGTTTTAATGCGCCGCGGTGTTATTGTTAATGTTTTTGCTTGCTTATGAGTTTGTTGTTATGGTATTGTTGTTGTTGTGTTTTACTGATGTATTTGGGCTCGGCCTCTTGTAAGCCGCACCGAGTCCTTCGGGAGATGGTAGCGGGGTATAAGTAAAGGTTTATTATTGTTGTTGTTGTTGTTGTTGTTGTTTTTCAATACAGGGATAACCTCAGTTAATGGAGTTGGGCATAATTCTTTAGTAGAACAATTGTTATTGTTATTATCATATTATAGCATATATACCCATCATTATCTGGGTTCCGGGGTGGGGGGTGGGCCTGCCACCTTCCTGCTTTCTCTTTTCACCACTCTGGTCAGTAGGTGTTGCCCTAGCCCTCGTCCATTGGTCATTTGACCTCTGAGGGGGACATGTTTGTTTTCTGCTGCTTCTTCCCTGCTCCTTCCCTCTCTGTTTCCTACCTACCTTTGTTTTCGTGTTGCCTTCCTCCCTTTCTTCTCTTCCTCCCCTCTTTCCTGCCTACCTTTCTTCCGTTACTCCTTCTCTTGCTTTCTTGTTTCCTTCTTTCCTCCCTTTCTATCCTTCCCTCTCTTTCCTACCTACCTTTCTTCCTTTTCTCCTTCCCCTTCTCTCCTACCTACCTACATTTCTTCTTTCCTTTTCTCCTTCCCTTTCTTTCCCACCTACCTTTCATTCTTTTCTTCTTCTCTTCCTTCCATCTCTATTTCCAACCTACCAACCTTTCGCTTTCTGTTTCCTACCTACTTTTCCTTCTCCTCTTATTCATTAGTTTTCTTGTTGCCTTCCTCCTTTCTTTTCCTTCCTTCTTTCCTGCCTACCTTTCTTCCATTTCTCCTTCTCTTGCTTTCTTGTTTCCTTCTTTCCTCCCTTTCTATCCTTCCCTCTCTTTCCTACCTACATTTCTTCCTTTCTTTTCTCCTTCCCTCTCCTACCTACATTCCTTTCTTTCTTTTTCTCCTTCCCTCGCTCTCCTACCTACATTCCTTTCTTTCTTTTCTCCTTCTCTTTCTTTCCTACCTACCTTTCGTTCTCTTCTTCTCTTCCTTCCATCTCTATTTCCAACCTACCAACCTTTTTTCTCTTCTCTTGCTCTCTGTTTCCTACCTACTTTTCCTTCTCCTCTTATTCAATTGTTTTCCTGTTGCCTTCCTCCCTTTCTTCTCTTCCTTCCCTCTTCCCTGCCTACTTTTTTTCCTTTTCTCCTCTTGCTCTCTTGTTTCCTTCTTCTTTCCTTCCCTCCTCTCCTCCTCCTTTCTTCCTTCCTTTTCTCCTTCCTTTCTTTCCTACTTCCTTTCTTCTTTCTTCTTTTCTTCCTTCCCTCTCTATTTCCAGCCTACCAACCTTTCTTCTTTTCCCTTGCTTTCCGTTTCCTACCAACCTTTCTTCCTCCTTCTCTTCCTTCCCCCTTTCCTACCTACCTTTCTTCCTCTCTTTCTTCTCTTCCTTCCCTCTCTATCTGTCTATCTACCTTTCTTTTCTCCTTCCCTCTTTTTCCTACGTACCTTTCTTCCTCTCTTTCTTCTCTTCTTTCCCTCTCTATCTGTCTATCTACCTTTCTTTTCTCCTTCCCTCTTTTTCCTGCCTACCTTTCTTCCTCCCTTTCTTCTCTTCCTTCCCTCTCTATTTCTCACCTACTTACCTTTCTTCTCTTCCTCACTTTCCGTTCCCTACCTACCTACTTTTCTTTCTTCCTTTTCTCCCTCCCTCTTTTTCCTGCCTCCTTTTCCTTCTCCCTTTTTCTTTCTTTCTCCCTTCCTCGTTCTCTCTGTTTTGGAAAGAAGCAAGAAACAATTCCCTCCATTTTGGGGGGAAATAGAAAGAGGGAAGGAGAGCTCAGGAGCAAGAAGAGGGTGGCGTAACTTAAGTTTAGAGCTCACCTTTAAGGTAAATGACCTTTGGAGGCCGGGTCCGGCCTGCGGGCCTTAATTTGGAGACTCCTGAGTGACGGTTTTGCAAATGGCAGCACCCTTCTCTTCTGATAGATGAGCTGAAACTTTGCATGCAACCTTTTCCTCTTTTCAGTCATGCCCTAAACCTGAAGGATTTGCATGCTCTTCTCCTGTTTGGCCAGGTTCTCTTTTACTATTGTTGAGAGGCAATAAACACACCAGTGGCTAAAACGGCCATTTTTATTTAAAAGTAAATGCAAACTTCACAGGTTCACTTCCCCAAATCGTCCCAAGGGGAGCTCCGTGCGTTTTGGAGCAAGGGTGAAGAGTGTCCTGCAGTGAAGTCCGGTCTTTGGCCAAATAGTTTAGAG